CCCCCACGAAAGAACGTGGCTTCCCGTCGGCACCTGCGGTGGGCCCGGGGACCGTGGCCTTCCCGATTCGAACCCAGGGTGCGTCTTGGGCCAACTTGGAGTACTCCAAAGCAGGCAGAAGGCACCTAAGGGGATGGTAACCTTCCAGAGAGGGGAGACATGGCACTGGCTGTCACCCAATAAGAACTGAGAAGCAATAAGAACTGAGAATGCACCACTGAGAAGCATTCCTAGGTCCCACAGGGAAAACCATGCCTTCCCATAAGGCCCTGCCTTAGGCCCCAGGGATGCTGGTGTCCCTGGTTCGAACCCAGGGTGCATCTTGGGCCCACTAGTGGTACCTCAAAGCGGACAGAATTTCCCTGAGGTCAAGGTAAAGTTTGAGGGAGGGGATGTGGGGCACCTGTGTCAGAAATTACCAAAAATATACTGGTGAGAAGCATTCCTGGGTCTCCCAGGGATGAAACTGCCTTCCCATCAGCCCCTGTACTGGGTCCCAGGGACTTGGCATCCCTGTTTCCAGACCGGTGTGCATCTCGGGTCCAGTAGTGGTACGACAAAGAAGGCATAAGGCTCCTGAGGGGGAAGTAAGGTTTGAGGGAGTGTTGTTGGGGCACCTGAGGCAGGAAACATAAAAAAGGCACTACCAAGAAGCATTCCTGGGTCATCCTTGGATGAACGTGCCTTCCCATCAGCCCCTGCGCTGCTACCCAGAGACCCTTATGTCCCTCGTTCGGACCTGGGTGATTCTAGTGCCCACTAGGGGTACCACAAACCTGGCATAAGGCCCCTGAGTGGAAGGTTAGGTGCAGGAAGAAGAGGCAACTGAGGGAGAGGAAAAAAAGGCACCTCTGAGAAGCGGGGCCAGTTTCCCCCACGTATGAAAGTGCCTTAAATCAGCCCATGCGCTGTGCCCCGGGGACTCTGGCTTCCCTGGTTCAAATACAGGGTGCATCTTGGGTTTGCTACGGGTACCCCAAAGCGGGTAAAAGGCCTCTGAGGGAAAGGTAAACTGTGAGAGAGTGGAGGTGGGGCACCAATGGCAGAAAAAAAGAAAGAAAATCGCACCACTGAGAAGCGTTCCTGGGTCCACCACAGACTAAATTGCCTTCCCATCAGTATGTGCGCTGGGCCCCAGGGACCATGGCTTCCATGGTTCGAAACCAGGGTGTGTCTCGGGCCCACTAGGAGTACTCCAAAATAGACAGAAAGACACTGAGGGGAAGGTGAGTTTAGAAGGAGGGCATATGGGGCTTCTGTGGCAGAAAAAGAGAAAAAAAATGCCAGTGAGAAGCGTTCCTGTGCTCACCAGGAACGAAAATGCCTTCCCGTCAGCCACAGTGCTGGGCTGTGGGCACCCTGGGGTCCCTGTATCGAACCCACGGTGCCTTTCAGGCCCATTATGGGTACCACAAAAAGGACCGGAGGCTCCTGAGGGGATAGTAAGGTTGGAGTGTCGGCAGGTGGGGCACACGTAGCAGAAAAAAAAAATCGTGCCTCCAACAAGCATTCCTGGGTCTCCACGGACGAAAGTGCCTTCCCATGGGCCTCTGCGCTGGTACCTGGAGACATTGGCTTTCCTGGTTCAAACCAAGCGTGTGTCTCGGGCTGGGTAGCAGTACCAGAATTGGAGAGAAGACCCCTGACTGGAAGATAAGGTTTGAGGGAGGGATGGTGAGGCACTTGTTGGAGAAAAAAAAAAGGTGCTGCCGAGAAGAAGGGCATGGGTTGCCACAGACAAAAATGACTTCCCATCAGCCCCTGCTCTGGACCACAGGGACCCTGCAGTCCCTAGTTTGAATGTAGGGTGCATCTCAGGAATGTGAAGGGTACCCCAAAGCGAGCAGAACTCCCCTGAGAGGAAGGTAAATAATGAGGAAGGTGAGGTGGCGCACCTGTGGCAGAAAAACATAATCACAATGCCGAGAAGCTATCCTGGGTCCCACCCAGGGAAAGCACCTTCCCATCAGCCCCAGCACTGGGCCCTGGGAACACTGGATTCCCTGGTTCGATCGCAGGCTGCGTTTTGGACCCGCTAGTGGAAGCCGAAAGTGGGAAGAAGACCCCTGAGGGGAAGGTAAGATTTGAGGGTGGGTAAGCGGGTTACTTGTGGAATAATAAAAAGAGAAAGCACAACCAAGATTTCTTTGTCACCCACGGAGAACGTGCCTTCCCGTCAGGGCCTGCGGTAGGGCCTGGGAACCGTGCATTTCCCAGTTCAAACCCAGGGTGCGTCTCTGGCTGACTTGGGACTTGGGGTACCCCACAGCAGGCAGAAGGCACCTGAGGGGATGGTAACACTCGAAAGATGGGTGCCGGGGCACTTGTGGCACCAAATACGAAAAAAACAATGCACCACTGTGAGGTGTTCCTGGGTCCCACAGGGAAAACAGTGCGCTCCCGGAAGGCCCTGTGCCAGGCCCCAGGGATCCTGGCTTCCCTGGTTCATAAGCAACGTGCGTCTGGGGCCCACTAGTGGTACCCAAAAGCAGACAGAAGACCACTGAAGGGAAGGTCACTTTCGAGGGAGGGGATGTGCGGCACCTGTGTTGGAAAATACCAAAAACACACTGGTGAGAAGCCTTCCTGGGTCCCCCAGAGACGAAACTATCTTCCCATCAGCCCATGCACTGGGTCTCAGGGACATGGCCTCCCTGTTTCCAGACTATAGTGCATCTCGGGACCCATAGTGGTGTGACATAGAGGGCATAAGGCCCCTGAGAGGAAAGTGAGGTTTGAAGGAGGGGAGTTGGGGCACCTGTGGCAGAAAAGATAAAAAACGCACTACCCAGAAGTGTTCCTGGGTCATGTCCAGACGAATGTGCCTTCCCATCAGCCCATGCGCTGCTATCCATAGTCACATATGTCCCTGTTTCGGACCCTGGGTGTTTCTCGTGCACACTAAGCGTACTACAAACCTGGGACAAGGCCCGTGAGTGGAAGGTAAGGTGCAGGGAGAACAGGCAACTGAGGGAGAGAAAAAAAAATGCAACACTGAGAAGCGGTGCCTGGGTCCTCCACGTATGAAAGTGCCTTACAATCAGCCCCTGCTCTGTGCCCCGGGGACTCTGGTGTGCCTGGTTCTAATACAGGGTACATCTTGGGTTCACTAGGGGTACCCCAAAGTGTGCAAAAGACCTCTGAGGGAAAGGTAAACTGTGAGGGAGGGGAAGTGGGGCACTGGTGGCAGATAAAAAGGAAAGAAAATTGCACAACTGAGGAGCGTCCCTGGGTCCACCACAGAAGTGCCTTCCCATCAGTCGGTGCGCTGGGCCCCAGGGACCATGGCATCCATGGTTCAAAACCAGGGTGCATCTCGGGCCCACAAGGGGTGCCCCAAAGTGGACAGAATAGCCCTGAGGGGAAGAAAAATTTTGAGGGAGGGGATGTCGGGCACCTGTGTTGGAAAAAAACAGAAACACACTGGCGAGAAGCATTCCTGAGTCCACCAGGGACGAAACTGCCTTCCCGTCAGCCCCTGCACTGGGTCTCAGGGACCTGGTGTCCCTGTTTCGAGACCAGGGTGCACCTCAGGCCTGGTAGTGGTACGAAAAAGAAGGCATAACACCCCTGAGAGGAAAGTAAGGTTTGAGGGAGGGGTATTGGAGCATCTGTGGCAGATAAGGGTAAAAAATGTACTACCGAGAAGCATTCCTTGGTCATCCCCGGACGCATGTGACTTCCCATCAGCCCCTGCCCTGCCACCCAGAGACCCTTATGTCTCTGGTTCAGATCCTGGGTGTTTCTCATGTCCACTAGGGGTACAACAAACCTGGCAGAAGGTCCCTGAGTGGAAGGTAAGGTGTGGGGAGAAGAGGCAACTGAGAGAGGGAAAAAAAAATGCGCCACTGAGAAGTGGGGCCTGTGTCCCCCACGTATGAAAGTGCCTTAAAATCAGCCCCTGCACTGTGCCCCGGGGACTCTGGCATCCCTGGTTCGATTACAGGGTGTGTCTTGGGTTTGCTAGGGGTACCGCAAAGTGGGCAAAAGGCCCCTGAGGGAAATTTAAACTGGTAGGGAGGGGAGGTGGGGCTCCAGTAGCAGAAAAAAAAAGAAAGAAAATAGGGCCACTGAGAAGCGTTCCTCAGTCCACCACAGAAGAAAGTGGCTTCACATCAGTCCATGTGCTGTGCTCCGGGGACCCTGGCGTTCATAGTTTGAAAGCACGGTGCATCTCAGGCCCACTAGAGGTACTAAAAAGGACAGAAAGACCCTGAGGGGAAGAATAGGTTTGAAGGAGGGCATATGGGGCTCCTGTGCGGAAAAACAGAAAAAAATAACGCGCCAGCCAGAAGCGTTCTTGGGCTCCACAAGGACGAAAGTGCTTTCCCATCAGAACCAGTGCTGGGCCGCAGGTACCCTGGGGTCCCTGTTTCGAACACAGGGTGCCTTTTGGGCCCGTTAGGGGGACCACAAAGAGGGTCAGAGGCTCCTGAGGGGATAGTAAGGTTGGAGTGAGGGGAGGTGCCGCACATGTGGCAGAAAAAAGAAACACGTGGTCAAGAAGTGTTCCTGGGTCTGGACAGAAGATAGTGCCTTCCCATGAGACCCTGCTTTGTGTGTGGGAGACCCTGCGCTGGTAATGGGAGACCTTGTGGCTGGTTCGAACCCAGGAGTGCCTCTGGGACTAGGTAGCAGTAAAAGAAATCAGAGAGAAGGCCTGATTGGAAGATAAGGTTTCAGGAAGGATGATGAGGCACCTGTTGGAGAAAAAAAAATAACAAGGCGCCAAAGAAGTGGGGCATGACGGCCACGAACTAAAAATGCCTTCCAGTCAGCCTGGCGCTGAACCCTGGAAACACTGGAGTCCCTGGTTCAAAGCGCGGGCTGCGTTTGGACCGTTAGAGATACCTGAAAGTGGACTTAAGGCCCCTGAAGGAAGAAGTTTGAGGTGGGAGGTGGGTTACATAGCCAGAATAATTTAAAAGCACCACGGAGAAGTGTTCCTTGTTCCCCACAAGCCTTTCCCATCACCGCCTGGTAGGTCTCAATGACATTGGCCAGTTTGAACCCAGGGTGTGTCTCGGGATGACTTGTGGTATCCGAAAGGAGGCAGATGGCACCTGAGGGGATGGCTGGCTTTGTTGCTTACACTCCTAATTGGAGGAAGTGCTAAATTTCAGCTAGAGATTGATGAAAATAATGACAGTGGCCTTCCCAGTTTGAACTCAGGGTGTGTCTCGGGATGACTTGTGGTATCCGAAAGCAGGCAGATGGCACTTGAGGGGATGGTAACTTTTGAGGGAGTGGAGACTGGGCACTGGTGCACCCAATAAGAAAAAACAACGCAACACTGAGAAGCATTCTGGGATCCCACAAGGAAAACAGTGCCTTCCCATAGGGTCTTGCGCTAGGACTCAGGGACCCTGGTGTCCCTACTTCAAACCCAGGGTGCGTCTCAGTCCCACTAGTGTTACCCCAAAGCGGACAGAAGACCCTTGAGGGGAAGGTAAGTTTTCAGGGAGAGAATGTGGGACACCAGTGTCAGAAAAAAACCAAAAACACCCCAGCAAGCAGTGTTCCTGGGTCCCCCATGGACAAAACTACCTGCCCACGAGCCCCTGCGCTGGTAACTGGAGAGTCAGGCATACCTGGTTTGAAGTCAGGGTGTGTCTCTGTCCAGATAGGGGTGCCACAAATCGGAGAGAAGATCCCTGCTTGGAAGATAAGGTTTGAGGGAGGTATGGTGAGGCGCCAGTTTGAGAAAGAAAAATTGCGACCTCAAGAATAGGGGCATGGGTCGCCACGGACCAAAATGCTTTCCCATCAGCCCCTGCGCTGGGCCACGGTGACCCTACGGACTCAAGCTCAGCTGGAGGGTGAATCACCATAACGCAAAGGGTACCCTCTAGCGAACAGGAGTCCCCTGAGGGGAAGGTAAATAGTGAGGGAGGTGAGGTGGTGCACCATTGGAAGAGAAAAATAATTGCGACCCCGAGTAGCTATCCTGGGTCCCCCACGGACGAAAGTGCCTTCCCATCCGCCCCGGCGCTGGGCCCCGGGAACACTGGAGACCGTAGTTTGAATGCAGGGAGCATTTGGGACATGCTATTGATACCCAAAAGACGGACAAAGGCCCCTAAGGGGAAAGTCAGGTTGAGGGCGGGGTGGTGGGTTACCTGTGGAATAATAATAATAATAAAAAAACTCCGCTGAAAAGAGTATTTTCCCCACAGAAGGAAGTGCCTTCTCGTCAGCGCCTCTGGTGGGCCCCTGGGACCGGGGCCTTCCCAGTTTGAACCCAGGGTGCATCTCGGGCAGACTTGAGTTACCCCAAAGCAGGCACAAGACACCAGAGGGGATCGTAACATTTGAGCAAGCGGAGCCGGGGCAGTGGTGGCACCAAATAAGAGAAAAACAACATACCGCTGAGAAGCGTTCCTGGGTCCTACACGGAAAACTTTACCTTCCCATAACGCCCTGCGCTAGGACCCAGGGACCCTGGTGTAACTGGTTCAAACCCAAGGTGCGTCTCGGGCCCACTAGTGGTACCCCAATGAGGACAGAAAACCCTGAGGAGAAGGTAAGGTTTGAGGGCCGGGATGTGGTTCAGCTGTGTGGGAAAATAACCAAAAACACACTGACGAGAAGTGTTCCTGCGTCCCCCAGGGAAGAAACTGCCTTGCCATCAGCCCCTGTGCTGGGTCCCAGGGACCTGGCATCCCTGTTTCCAGACCAGGGTGTGTCTTGGGCCTGACAGTGGTACAACAAAGAGGGTACAAGGCCCCTGAGGGGAAAGTCAGGTTTGAGGGGAGGGGAGTTGGGACATTGTGGCAGAAAAGATAAGAAAGGCAGTACCAAGAAGTGTTCGTGCGTCATCCCCAGACGAATGTGCCTTCCCATCAGCCCCTGCACTGCTACGCGGTGACCATTATGTCCCTGGTTCGGATCCTGTATGTTTCTCGTGCCTACTAGATGTACTGCAACCCTGGCAGAAGGCCCTTGCATGGAAGGTAAGGTGCAGGGAGAAGAGGCAACTGAGGGAGAGAGAAAAAAAAAGCACCACTGAAAAGGGGGAATTGTGTCCCCCACATAGGAAAGTGCCTTATATCAGCCCCTATGCTGTGAACCGGGGACTCTGGCATCCCTGGCTCCAATACAGGGTGCATCTTGGGTTCACTAAGGGAACCCCAAAGTGGGCAAAAGTCACCTGAGGAAAAGGTAAACAGTGAGGGAGGAGAGGTGGGTCACCAGTGGCAGAAAGAAAATTGCTCCACAGAGAAGCGTTCTTTGGTACACCACGGATGAAAGTGCCTTCCAATCAGTCTGCGTGCTGGGCCCCGGGAAGCCTGGTGTCCGTGGTTCGAAAGCAGGGTGCATATCGGGGCCACTAGGGCTACTCCAAAACGTCAGAAAGACCCTAAGGGGAAGGTGTGGTTAGAAGGAAGACATATTGGGGCTCCTGTGGCAGACAAAGAAGGAAAAACATGCCTGTGAGCAGCGTTTCTGTGCTCCCCAGGTAAGAAAGTACCTTCCCATCAGCCCCAGTGCTGGACCACGGATACACAGGGGTGCCTGGGTTGATCTTAGGGTGTCTTTCAGGCCTGTTAGGTGTACCACAAAGAAGGCAGGAGGCTCTTGGGGGGATAGTAAGTTTGGAGTGTGGGGAAGTGGGGCACAAGAGGAAGAAAAAAGAATGAGCCACCAAGAAGGGTTCTTGGGTCTCCACGTATGGAAGTGCCTTCCATGAGCCCCTGCGCTGGTACCTGGAGATGCTGGCATCCCTGGTTCGAACCCAGTGTGAGTCTGGGACCAGGTGCAGCTACCACAAATTGGAGAGAAAGCTCCTGATTGGAAGATAAGGTTTGAGGGAGGGATGGTGAGGCACCTGTTGGAGAAACACACACACACACACACACACAAAGCTGATAAGTGGGGCATGGGTCACCATGGACAAAAATGCCTTCCTTTCAGCCCCTGCGCTGGGCCACGGGTACCTTGCAGTCCCTGGTTTGAATGAAGGTGGCCTCTCGTGAACACGATGTGTACCCTAAAGCTAGCAGAAGTCCCCTGAGGGGAAGGTAAATAGTGAGGGAGGTGAGGTGGTGCACCAGTGGCAGAGAAAAATAATCACGAGGCTGAGAACCTATTCTGGGTCACCCTTGGACGAAAGTGCCTTCCCATCAGACCTGGCCCTCTGCCCCGGGAACACTGGAATCACTGGTTCGAACGCAGGCTGCCTTTCCGACCCACTAGTGGTACCGAAAAGCAGGAAAAGGCCCCTGAGGGGAAAGTAAGGTTTGAGGGCGGGGAGGTGGGTTACCTGTGGAATAAAAAAAGAAAAACGTGCCAACGAGAAGTGTTCCTTGATACCCATGGAAGTAAGTGCCTTCTGTCAGCGCCTGCTGGGGGCCCCAGGGACCGTGGCCTTCCCCGTTCGAACTCAGGGTGCGTCTTGGGCTGACTTGGGGTACCCCAAAGCAAGCAAAAGGCTGCTGAGGGTATGATAACTTTCAAGAGAGGGGAGCTGGGGAAGTAGTGGCACCAAAAAAGAAAAAAGCAATGCACCACTGAGAAGCGTTCCTGGCTCCTGCATGGAAAACAATGCCATCCCAGAAGGCTATGCGCTCGGCCCCAGGGACCCTGGCGTCCCTGTTTCCAGACCAGGTGGCATCTCAGTCCTGGTACTGGTACAACAAAGAGGGCATAAGGCTTCAGATGGGAAAGTAAGGTTTGAGTGAGGGGAGTTTGGGTACCTTTGGCAGAAAAGGTAAAAAATGCACTACCGAGAAGAGTTCCTGGGTCATCCCCTGACGAATGTGTCTTCCCATCAGCCCCTGCGCTGCTACCCGGTGACCCTTATGTCCCTGGTTCGGATCCTGGTGGTTTCTCTTGCCCACTCAGTGTACCACAACCCCGACAGAAGGTCCCTGAATGGAAGGTAAGATGCAGGGAGATGAGGCAACTGAGGGAGAGAGAAAAAAACGCCACTGTGAAGCACAGCCTGTGTTCCCCACATATGAAAGTGTCTTACAATCAGCCCCTGCACCGTGTCCTGGGGAATTCTGGCATCCCTGGTTCGATTATAGGGTGTGTCTTGGGTTCGCAAGGAGTACACCACTGTGGGCAAAAGGTCCCTGAGGGAAAGGTAAACTGTCAGGGAGGGGAGGTGGGGCACCAGTGGCAAAAACACAAGAATGAAAATCGCAAAATTGAGAAGGGTTCCTGAGTCCACCACAGGCGAAATGCCTTCTCATCAGTCCGTGGGCCACTCCATGGGGACCCTGGCGTCCATGATTCAAAATCAGGGTGCTTCACAGGCCCACTAGGGGTACTCCAAAACGGACAGAAAGACCCTGAAGGGAAGGTGAGTTTAGGAGGGCATACGGGCCCCTGTGGCAGGAAAAAAAAAACAAAAAACAAAAAACGTGCAGGAGAGAAGCGTTCCTGAGCTCCCCAGGGGCGCAAGTGCCTTCACATCAGCCCCATCGCTGGGCAGTGGGTACCCCAGGGTCCCTGGTTTGTACCCAGGGTGCCTTTCAGGTCCTTTAGGAGTACCACAAAGTGCGCTGGAGGTCCCTGAGGAAATAGTAAGGCTGCAGTGAGGGGAGTTGGGCACATGTTGTGGAAACAAAACAAAACAAAACAAAACAAAACAAAACAAAACAAAACAAAACACTGTCGGGAAGGTTCTTGGGTTTCCACAGTTGAATGTGCCTTCCCGTGAGTCCCTGCGCTGGTACCTGGAGAGCCTGCCATACCTGGTTCGAACCCAGGGTGCATCTCGGTCCAGATAGGGGTACCACAAATCAGAGAGAAGACTCCTGCTTGGAAGATAAGGTTTGAATGTGGTATGGTGAGGCACCAGTTGGAGAAAAAAAAAATCGCAACCTCGAGAATAGGGGCATGGGTCACCATGGACCAAAATGTCTTCCCATCAGCCCCTGTGCTGGGCCTCAGTGACCCTGCGGACCCGGGTTCAAATGTAGGGTGAATCACAGGAACGTGAAGGGTACCACAAAGCGAGCAGAAGTGGCAAGTGCGTCTCAGGCCGACTTGGGGTACCCCAAAGCAGGCACAAGGCACCATAGGGGATCGGAACTTTTGAGCATGGGGAGCCGGGGCAGTGGTGGCACCAAATAAGAAAAAAACAATGCACCACTGAGAAGTGTTCCTGGGTCCTACACGGAAAACATTACCTTCCCATAAGGCCCTGTGCTAGGGGCCCCGGAGCCCTCACTAAGTGCTTCAAGCAGGGAGCAGAGCTCTCTGACAAACTAAGTAGTACCCCAGAGTGGCCAAGCCTGAGAAAGTGTAAGAGTTTGAGGAGGGGATGTGTATCAGCTGCATGGGGAAGCCAAAACACACACTGGAGATAAGCATTCCTGCATCCCCCAGGGAAACTGCCTTCCCATCAGCCACTGTGCTTGTGAGACCTGGCTTCCTGTTCCAGGCCAAGGTGTGTCTTGGGCCTAGTAGTGAAGTAAGCTCATGGACCCGAGAAGTGAGGTTTGGGGAAAGTTGGGAGGCACCTGTGTAGATGAAAAGCAGCGAACTACAAGCGTTCCTGGGTCATCCCTGGATGAATGTAACTCTTCCCAGCCTCTACACTACCTGTTGGCCACTTTGTGTCCTGGTTCAGATCTGTAGTTGTTTCTCATGTTACACTAGGTGTACCCAACCCTGGCAGAAGGCCCCTGAGTGGAAGAGTAAGGTGCAGGGAGATAGAGAGGCAACTGAGAGAAAGGAAAAAATGCTCCCTGAGATACGGGGCCTGTGTCCCCATGGCAAAGTGCCGTAAGGGCCATGCCTTAGACTGGGAACTCTGTCTGGAAGCATAATCTACACAGGGTTCGTTAGGGTACCCCAAAGTGGGCAAAGGCTGAGGGAAAGGAGTAACCTGTCAGGAGTTGAGGCACTGGTGGAAAGAAAAAAGCAGAAGAAAAGTGCGCCTTAGCAGAGAGCGTTCCTGGAGTCTACAGGTGAAGTGCCTTATCATCAGTCCCATTAGGTCATTCCCAGGGACCCTCCATGCATGGTTCAAATCAGGGTGTGTTACGGGCCCTAGAGGGAGTACTCCAAAACGGACAGAACCAGAGGAAGCTGAGTTTAGAAAGGCATATGGGCTCTTGTGGCAGAAAAAGAAACATAAAACTTGCAGACAGGAAGTGTCCCTGAGCTCCCCAAGTGAAAGTGCCTTCGATCAGCCCCACCGCTGGGCAGAGGGAACCCAGGGTCCAGTGGTTCAAACTTAGGTGCCTGGGCCTTTCCAGGCTCCTCTGAGGAGACTCCGTCGTTTATTCTGCAGCATGTACCAGCACCCTCTCCAAGAGGGTTGGAGTGAGGAGTAGTAGTAAAGTTAGAGGCGAAAGTAGTTGGGCACATGTTGCAGAATAAAGAAAACATACCGCCAAAAGCGTTCCTGGGTTTCTACCACAGTCAGATGTGCCTTCCCGTGAGTCCCTGCACTGGTATCTGGAAACTTGGCATACCTGCCCAGATACAGGCTCTGTCTCGGTCCCAGACAGTGGTACCACAAATCAGAGAGAGAAGACCCCTGCTTGGAAGATAAGGTTGGAGGGTGGTATGTTGGAGGCACCAGTTGCAAGAAAAAAAAATTACACCTCAAAGAGGCAAAGGCATAGGTGTCCTTGGACCAAATGCCTTCCCATCAGCCCCTTTGCTGGGCCTTGGTAGCCCTACAGACTAGGTTCGTCTTAGGGTGAATCATTGGGAATGTGAAGGTTACCCCAAAGAAAGAGCATAAGTCCCCTGAGGGAAAGGAGGAAAATAGTAGGGGAGGTGAGAGAGATGTACCAGTGGTAGAAAAGTAATCGCAGCCCCAAGAAGCTATCCTGGGTCCCCACAGATGAAGTTCGCCGTCAGCCCGGCTGGGCCCTGAGAACCCTGGAGACCCTGATTCAACGCAAAGTGTTTCGGACATGCTATTGATAGCAAAAAGAGGTACACGAAGACCCCCTGAGAGAAGGTCAGAGTTGAGGAGGCAGGGGCTGGGCAGCCCTGTGGGAATAAATTTTAAAAACCCTCCACAAGAAAAATTTCTTGACTGCATGGAAGAAAGTGCATTCCCATCAGCACGCCTCCAGTGGGCCCTGGGGACCTGCTTAGTTGAGCAGGGTGTGACTTTACATTCAAAGCAGGCACAAAGGCCTGGGGGGATCGCAACTTTTGAGCGGGGAGCTGTGTGTCACTGGTGGCAACAAAATAAGAAAAACAATGCACCACCCAAGAGGCATTCCTGGGTCCTACCACGGAAATCATTACCTTGTAAGGCGTTAGGCCCCAGGGATTTCTGCCTCTGGTTCAAGCCAGGTGCATCAGTCGATAAATTACCCCGAGGGACAGAGGAGCAACCCTGGGGGGAAGTCGCAGGAAGGTTATGCAGTTCAGCTGCAATGCGGCCAAAAAGTCCAAAAACACACTGTTGAGAAGCGTTCTTACATCCCCAGGGAAAAGAAACTGCCTTCCCATCAGCCCACATGCTGGTTCCCAGGGACTTTGGCATCCTGGTTCTGTCTCTGGGGTGCATCTTGGGTTTGCAAAGGGTTTACCCCAAAGTAGGTAAAAACTCCCTGAGAGGGAAAGGTAAGCAGTGAGGGGAGGAGGAGTGGAGTCACCAGTGGCAGAAAGAAAAGAAAAATCTACCACAGAGAGAAGGAGGGTTCCTGGGTCCACCACAGAGGAAAGTTCCTTCCCTTTGAGTCTGTGCACTGGGCCTGGGATGCCACCATCCATAGTTCAAAAGCAGGGTGCATCTCCAGGCCCCACAGAGAGTCACTCTGAAATGGACAGAAAGACCCTGAAGGGGAAGGTGAAGCTTAGAAGGAAGGCATATGGGAGTCCTGTGGCAGAAAGAAAGAGAAAAAGGAGAACACGCCAGCGAAAGGAGCTTTCCTGGAGGCCCAGGTATGGGAAGTGCCTTCCCATCAGCAGACTAATGCTGGGCCCACACGGGGTACACTGTGGTGCCTGGCTCGAACTTGTGGCTCAGGCCCATTAGGTGTACCACAAAGAGGCAGGAGCCTCCTGTGGCAAGCGTGGAGTGGGAGTGTAGGAAATTACAATTACAGGACATGAGGCAGAAATAAAAAAAAAAAATGCCACAAGAAGCGTTCCTGGGTCTCCACGTACCGATGCCTTCATAGGCCCACATGCTGGTACCTGGAGACTTTGCATCCCTATGGTTCAAACTCAGGGTGAGTCTCAATCCAGGTATAGCTACCACAAATCAGAGAGAAAGCCTGATAGGAGCATAAGGTTTGAAGGGAGGGATGGTGAAGCATCTATTGGAGAAAAAAAAAACCAAGCAGAGAAGTGCGCCGGTAGTCACGGACCCAAGTCGGCCTTTCAGCCATCCACGGCTGGAGTCACGGGTGCCTTGCAGTCAGTGGTTCCAACGAACTCGAAGTGTATATCCCAAAGTGGGCAGATCTTGAGGCAGAAGAATTTTAAAGTCAACAGATGTCCCTGAGAAGATAAATAGTGAGGAGGTGAGGTGGTACACACAGTGGCAGAGAGAAATATTACCCAATGCGAGAAACTATAGGTCACCTACAGATGAAAGTGCCTTCCCATCAGCCCCCAGAACTGTGCCCAGGAACACTGGAATCCTGGGTTGACCCGGCCACAGGCGTTCAAACATGCTAGTGGTACCCAAAAAAGCAGGACAAAGCCCTGAGGAAGTTAAGGTTCGGAGGTGGATGGGTATAGGTTACCTGTAAAAGAAAAAAAGGCTGCTGAAATGCTTGCCTGCCCATGGAGAAAAGTACCTTCCGTCGAGAAGGTGCCTGCGGTGGGCCCCAGGCAATGGTCAACCCGGTTTGGTTTGTGCTTGGTGAGTGTGAGTGTGGGGAGTGAAGTGTGAGTGAATGTGGTGACCATGAGTGTTAGTGTCTGTAGCAGGTAGAGTGTGACAGTGTGGTAGAGAGTGTGGCAGAGTGTGAAGGAGTGTGCATGTGAGGGTGTGGTGTGAAGCAGAGGTGTGAGTAGAAAGTGAGTGTGAGTGGGCAGGTGTGTGAGTGAGTGTGTAGATTGTGGGAGAATGTGAGTGACTATAGGCGAGTGTGTATGGAGTGTGAGTGTGGCAGAGTGCGTGTAGGCAGCACTTAGGGGAAGTGTAAGAATATAAGTGTGTGTAAGTAGAAAATGGGTGTATGCTTATTATTTGTAGTGTAGATAAGGTTTATTGTAGAGGTGTGTGTGGCAGGTGTGAGTGTGAGTAGCGCCGTGTTGAGTGTTTGTAAGTACAACAGTGTGTTGAGTGAATGTACTGAAGTGTGAGTGTGTGTGTGGGTAGGTGAGTGTGTGAGATGGAGTGTAAGTGAATGAGTGAGTGGGGTTAGTGGAGGTGGTGTGTGTTTGTGAGTGCAGAAATGTAAGTGAGTGACTGTGAGCAAGAGTGTGAGTGTGTGAACGTGTGTGAGTGTGTGTGTGAGTGTGAGTTTGTGTGGCAGGAGGGGAGTGTGTGAGTGTGTAAAGAGGAAAGTGGTAGGTGTGAAAAGAGTAAGTGTGTGTGTGGTGATTGGCAATTGTGTCCACTTAGATTGTGCAATTAGCAGGTGAGTGGGTGTGCGACTAGCAGGTGTGTGACTTTGAGTGTGGCAGAGGTGTGA